ATTCCGGTAGGAATCGCATAACTTAAAAAACCTGTCTTCGTGATGGACAAATTGTATCAATCTCATTTTGGGGGGAAACCTGAATCCAATTTGAACCTCATTCCTGTAAAATGTAGGTTCAGTAAGGTCTGGGGGAAAGCTCTCACTTTGCCAACCGCTGTCCTATCGACCTGGAGAGTAAAACAGAATCTTCTCTTTGCTGCCAAAAGAGCAACAAGAGAGTACAACAGAAACCAGTTACAGGGTAAAAAATACCATGACAAATAAAAATATTCGGCCTTTTTGGTTTTATTTGACATATATTCTCCAGGTTTGAGGTGCCAATCTCCAGGTTTTTGGGAGCTTTTTTTCAAACACTTCAGGTTTGCATGGTTTAGGGGTAGGAAGGTCTGAAGAGGCAATATCAAATTTCACTGATAGTTGCTATAAGTATCTTAAGATGTCTTCATTTTCTTTGGGAAATCAAAACTAACAGCACAGGACTTAAACTTAACAGGGAATTAGGGCAATTTCCCTTGCTGATTTCTGTGTCAAATCTGCACTGTTAGGACAAGTTTGCAGGAAAACAAGCCTGGATTCAACAGAATCTTATAAAACAACATTGAACCACTGCACAGCACAAATAAAAATTTTCATGTGAACGGTGATGCTAAGTTGAGGGATTTCTAAAATGTGATGTTGATACTGCAGGTTAAGCCCCCTTTCAAGCCAGTGGTAAAGTCTGACACCGATGTTTCTAATTTTGATGAAGACTTCACCAGTGAACCAGTCAAACTGTCACCCACTGAAGGTAAGGCAACCGATCATAAAGATTAAGCTCCCAATATCCATATATAAATATTATTCTCTAGACTGATCTTCACACATTTCTTTAAAGAATCAGTCAAGAGAATTTGACAAAAGATCAAAGCGTTTTCCCTTTAATGGTCATGATATTCTTTCTCATAATGATGCATAGATGTTGTTAGGAGAAAACTGATGTTGGTCACTCTTGGAAGAACAACTCTTCATGACCAGCTGTCTGTTGACTGCTGCCCAAATTATCAAAGATAATTGATCAGTTGTCAGGTGATTGGCGAACAATGGTTTTCTGAGTGTGCTTAATAATACCTAAACCAACTGTTGGTTAAACTTGGTGATCTGTAAATGTAGTGCACCTTAATACTTCCATCATTCTTTTTCTGCTACGGGATTACGGCTGTTTTTTACACACTTTGATCTTTTTTCGCTTGGTTTAAAAGTCATAATGACATTAACCTTTTGTGGCAAGCATGTGAAAGTGTGGCCCATTTTGTGGCCATTTATGGCAAATATCAGTGTTTGAATCTGAGTCATGCAGTATTTTAGGCTTTTTGTTCTGCAATTGCATAAATTGACATCCGATCTGAGATTCATCTGTATAAACTGGTTTGCAGGTAACCTGGCTGAGATTGCTGAAGAGGATGAAGCTAATTTTAATCAGTTTTCATACACGCCTGAGAATGGAGAAAGCTTGAAGTCATAACAGAGACATTACACTTTGCAGTTAGCACAAAAACTTTGGTACAAGCAAGATTAGTTTGTCGCAGTACAGTACATGCCTTCCCTTTGTTGCTATAAAAAAGGCAGATGTGAAAATATGTTAAAAACAAAACAAAAAGAGTAAAAAACCAAAATCAAGGATGAAGCTTAGCAGAAAGGTTCTCAGTTTCTCAGTATTGATCACAGTTTTTCATTTCTTGAGTGTTAGATCCTATTTATACAGCATACCAATGACTGGCATAAATTTACTGTAGGTTTTTTTTTTTTTCTGAGAGCTAACTCTCAAGGCATGAAAGAAGATATTTTTTGCTTTCTTTATAGCTAGATGCACTTTTTTCATGAAAAAAAAGTTTAAATCAGCCAGCAGTGGAGCTTCATAGTTAACATCAATGTTGCTACCCTGCTCCCTTTGTTTGAATTCTGGTTTAACGCTTGCTCACTTCAAACAATGGAAGGAGACTGTAGCCCGCATTCTTAAATCACAGTTTTGACGCTCTACATAGCAGTACAAGTCAGAAGAATAGGTTTCAGTTGGTTAAAAATTCCATAAATTTTCTATGAAAAATTTTATTAGACTATTATATTACTATGTCATTGTCACTTATCTATAATTAAGTAAAAATGGCCTGCACTGTTTTTTATAAATTATAAGAAAAAGTAATGATTAAAATATTACTTCATATTTAGGTAGTCAATGTAACATAGAGGAGTGTTTGTATTTACAAATTTGCAATGATTACAGACAGTAGGATGATTTAACTTGAAATTATTATTAATTTTCCTGTCACTTTTGTTAGTGTTAACAAATCACAAAACAAACACAGGCAACACAAGTGATTTATTTTTACTACATGTAGCTACCAGGAAATAAGAAGTTTTGGTTTCTGTTCTGATTTTTCAATAATAAATGGCATGATCCAATCCAGAAATAACTTTGACACTAGATGAAGAACTCTCTTATCACAGGTTAATAATTAACATTCCACATCACTGAATAATTACAATAATTGGGCTTGAACATCAATTTTAAAGTGACAGTTATTTAACTGGATTTTTAGCTTGAGTCATTAAACTGTCCAATAAAGTTGAGTTAGTGATTATAACTTGTGAAATGATCTTTCTAATATCCATGATTTATTTCAGGAATCAGCTCAAACTTTTTTATACAGTACTACTACAGTTTTGATGACAATAGTTGACTGTATTTTCTACAAAAAAATACCGTTCATGTAAATAATTTTTTGATTTACAAACTAGGAATTTTGTTGTTACGCTCTAGCTTTCATTAGCATTTTTGAAGTAATAAAATGCAACAGTGTGATCAAAATTATGTTGTTGTTTTTTTAATATATTCAAATAAACAACTGCCTTGTAAAAAAGAGTCTTTTTACTGTAGGTGACAGCTCTTGTACAACCAGCCATTAATAATACTGCTTAATAAGGACACCCATATATAACAGACACTCTTCGTTTCTCCCAAAGAAAAGGTGATATATTTTCTCTAAAATTAACCCACTTAATGCAGACTCCAGACACTTTTCTACGTCTCAAGTCACATAATTGCCGTTTTCACACTAGAGACAGATTATCCATCTGAGATGGTTTTATCCATTGGATAGTTCACGTCAGACAGATAATAAGTCTTAATGCAAAAATATAACAGTTTCAATTTTGGATGAATAATCCATCTGACTTTATAAATCTGTTTATCCACCAAGGAGGAGGCTGGAATGAGAATCTGTCAACAGATGGCTTAGGGTAGTTGTGATTCGAGCGACACTGAAAAACCAATTTATGTAAAGGATACATTCATACACCCATACATTACAAATAATCTGGAATGTATCAGCTACCGGAGTCAAAAAAGGCAGAACTACAGTTCTACATGTGTGTGTAATACTCCATTTTAGAGTAATTATTACTCATCAATGGAGTATTACACACACAAGTAGAATATATTATTACAGTTCTGCCTTTTTTGACTTCAGTAGCTGATTCTTGAAGATTCTCTAAGAACCTTGGTGTCTCATCTACACAAGGAACTGAGGGATGCCTTAGGATTGTTCACATGATCTGTTTACTTGTTTGGTGTGTTTAAACTTGATAAGTCACCAAAAGTTGCTGTTGCAGATCCACGTTTTGCCGCCTTTTGCTGAAAATAAAGTAAGTCAAAACATTGGGACCCCTCTCAATCTTACTTTCCACTGTATCTCGCCAAATATGAGCTTAGAAAGCAACTACTAGGAACATTGATTTTGTCAAAACTAGATTATGCTGCCTTTTGCTGAAAATAAAGTAAGTCAAAACATTGGGACCCCTCTCAATCTTACTTTCCACTGTATCTCGCCAAATATGAGCTTAGAAAGCAACTACTAGGAACATTGATTTTGTCAAAACTAGATTATGCTGATCTGGTTTTTTACGTTCTACGTTTTACTTCACTGTTTGCAACAAGTTCAGTTTACGGCCGCAAGTTTTATACTCGGTCACTATGTTAAGAACTTTTGGGATGTACTTAAAATCGGATGGCTTCCAATCAATGAGAGAAGAGATTTGAATCTCATGACTTTGCATAACACTGAGACTTGGCCAGATTGTCTTAAAATTAAAAAAAGGAAGGAACTGTGCTCAAGCAATAAGATAAGTGGTACCGACTGAAAACGGCACTTTCCAAAATAATGCATCAAAGCTATTGAACAATCTACCAGAAACTATTAGAAACTGTAAAGATTGCAGAACCTTTTTAAGACTTTCAAGGAATTTTTTATGTAACAGAGTACAGAGTGATTAGTAAGTTTTAGTTTAATTTCAATTCTGTTAATCCTGCTTCTACTGTTAATTGTATATTGCATAATTTGTAAATAACTTAATTTGATTTACTTCTAATTGTAATTGATGTACTTTAACAGGAAAGAGCCACATAGTGGATCTGTTAACAGAACCATTATTATTATTATTATTACTGTACGGCTATTCTTTGACTTGTAATCAAACACTTAAAATGCCATCAAATGTTCAAGTCAGACTTACTTGCGAGTCATGGGGCTTCCATCCAATCATGTAATGCACAAAGAAAGTGGCTGGAATACCACCATCTTCCAGACCATACATCTCTGCAAAATGTGAGTAAGGACAATGAAAAAAATTAACTTTACAGTAATTTACATGTAATCTGCACCTGGGCACAGGAAAAAATTCAGACAATAATGAAAGAACTAATAACAGTTTTCTTAACCAATCAGTTTTACATGTATTGATTCACATAAAGGTGTAGAAATTTCGTACATTAAACAACCATTAAGAACAAAACACATAAGCATAAAAATGTACCATGGAAAATTCTTGTCAAATTTTAAAAGGATTAAATATACAAACGTATATTTTTTATTTGGCTCTGTGGGTAGCCTGTGAACAATGGTTTCTCTGCCACATGCTATGCTAAAATATCATTTTGCATAATAGCATGGTGTTTATCAAACAAACCACTCCTCAAGGTTAACTTTGAGTAGCTGATCACTGGTGACAGTGAATAAATACAGAAGACAAATACACAAGACAAATCCCAAGAAGTTTTATTACTCCTGTGGACCGTCAGGAGTAGAGAGACATGATGATGATGAGAATGACAATTACACACAGAAGGTCTTAAAAACTTCAGTTTAAATATACCCTGATATATTGAAGATGCAGCAAGAATGGTGTCCCTGTGCAATAGTGTCTTTCTTCTCCAGGCAGCATTATTTTCGCCCATTCCTTTAAGATCTTGCATTAGTTCAACCATTCCAGGATATCCTATTGTTATCTCATCAAAATCCTTACAAAAAACAGAGGCTTACAAATCAGACACAGAAAACTCACAGTTATCTCTCGTGACTAGACACGTGTATGTTTTGTAAATGAAATAATTGCCCAGAAAGACACAATATCATTTTATTATTTTCATTCCAGTTTGGGGTTCCATAAAAGGTTTCAATGTTCATAGTGAAGTGCAGTGTAGGCTGATTAACCCTTCTAACATTCAATTCATCTTAAACTTACAACAGTTGTTAGAGAGAATCCACTTCTGGTCAAAAGATTTCCAAGATCTCTGACTTCTGCAAATGGTGATATATGAGGAGCAAATCCCTGAAAGTTAATTTAGCAACAGTTTTTGTGACTAAAGTGTAGCAAGCATTAAAAGACACTAAGCTAAGACCATGCCAGAACAAAAAATTTCAACTACCACTTATCAGTCTAGTTGACATAATGATAGAATGTAAATGGCAAATGCAAGACTTGCAAAGACCCTTGCTTAAAAACCTGAGACCTTAGAGCAAAAACATTGAGTCTCAAGGATGAAAAGAAACAAAGAAACACACAGAAAAAGACTTGAAAAAGTGTTGAAACTTCAGTGTTTGACAGCATTACAAATCTATTTGCTTTTATAGGTGAGAATTAGGGCTACAAGAAAGTTTGTGATGTCTATCATAAATAGCCTGAATCTCACGTGCATTTCTGGACAACAGGCTTGGAATAGCTCCAGCAAGAAAGATGAACATCAAACCAATTCCCAGTCTGTTATATTTACCACCCATTTACCAAAAATCTCCTAGGAGAAATATACCTTCAGAGCCTTTCCTCATAACACCCCATATGCCATCCATGACAACACTCAACTTTGTTGGAACTAGACTTCCCCTCCACCTCACATTCAAAAATAATATTTTCCACACCCAACCTCACCTTCTTATAAATGTACAAAAACTTACCCTCTATCTCTTTTAAAAAACTGACTTACAGTGTACCCCTTACTACCCCGCAGGATTGTGTTTGTACTGTACTTACCCCCTCCCTCTCAATTTCAGCCAACTGTAAGGCAGATCGGAGCTGATAAAGGGTTTCTCCTCCAAACATGGCTCCTATGAAAACACCATCCTCTTTTAGGCAGTGAATGATCTAATTTGATAAAAGTTTCATTAACATGTTTGACATTTGTCAGTATAAAAGATACTTGTTATATTTTATTTGCATGATGAAGTCATTTTACTACTATGACCAGAATTTTCGAGTTTTCCTTCCTTAATTGTGCAAACTAGGGCTTTTGATATTTAAACCTCACTGGGAGCACCAAGTTAAAATATGAAAGGAAAAACAAAAAGGATTTTGGTCATAGAAGTAAAACGATGCCTTTGTGCAAATGGCTGTTGGTGTTCTCAAGAAAGGTACCAATCCACAAATTAAACCTTCTAAGCCAAATAATTTGTAATAGCTTGTTTGGCGCATTTAGTAAATAAAATGGTTAATTTTAAAATAGAAAGGAAAATCAAAAAATTTCAAAATAATTTTTACCTAGAATTCAATTTAAAATGCTCCAATATTTTTTAACACCACTTTGATTCACTGGTTTGTTTTGTTCCTGCTGTTGTTCAGTGGTCAATAATTTTAGAAGTTGGTGAGAAAATGAATAAAGGAGTCAGGGATTAGAGATTTTCTTGTATTTTCAAGTATTGTGTATCTACCAAAGTTACCAGGACTCATTTTTAATGGTTTAGGCAAGATCCCCCATCAACCTGCATTTGCAACAAAAATTATTACAAATAAAAAAAGATATGATTTACAAGTTTCAAATCAACTAACCTGTCTAAATGTTCCTGGTAAATCATTAACCCAATGAAGGCTGCAGTGAGAAAGTAAAAATAATCATAATTTATAAAGCAGTTGCAGCATAATAAGAAGAAATATCCAGATTTGCAGTAAATAAAATTAATACTCAACCAAAAATTTAACAGCCCTCTGATAGAGTGCAAAATATGAACAATGCACCATTTTAAATAAAACTGCATTACTGTAACCATTTTCAAAGATACAACTTAACTTTGAAATCTGACATAAAAAATGGAACAATACTCATTGNTGCAGTAAATAAAATTAATACTCAACCAAAAATTTAACAGCCCTCTGATAGAGTGCAAAATATGAACAATGCACCATTTTAAATAAAACTGCATTACTGTAACCATTTTCAAAGATACAACTTAACTTTGAAATCTGACATAAAAAATGGAACAATACTCATTGCATCTAAGAGCTAAAGGTCTTATTAAAAACACTTTAAGCTTAAAAGCAGACTTCCAGTAATTCTGCACATAATTATCATGATTATTCTGTCTCAAAAAAGTATTACAAAAATCCCTAGATACATATTGAATTGGGGAGTCACCCAACAGGAATGTAGTTAGGATTTTGCTGCCACTAAGAATGCTTCTCTTTAAAAGCACTTGTATTATCAGAAAAAAAGTCAGTATTATCAGGAAAAAGTCACATTGGAAGTAACTTTATTCAACTGCTGACGAGCCAAACTCATCAAGGAGTTTTCTATTTAGTTTCGAGTGAAAATTATTGTCCCTTTCCGAAAATGAGTCACACAGAGAGCACTTTAATGCTACTCAAATGGAAATAGACCATTTCACAGTTGTGGGCTTAGTGCTTACCTTTGCCTTCAAATGAATATGAGGCTGAGATTGACCATGTTTTGATACAAACTTCCTTTGCTTTCTAATGGAAATTAAGCTTGAAAATACTAGTTAGCATAAGAACAACATGATAAACAAGAGAAAGCAGGAAGCAGGGGTTGTAATCAAAACATAGTCAAATCCAGCCTCGTTTAAATTCATCTATAGCTGTAAAGTGACCTATTTCACTTCCATGAACACACCTTAAACTGCTGACAACAAGATCAAAAGAATTTTGAGCAAAAGGTAAAAATTCTTCATCTACCATAAGTCTAAGCATCTGAACTTCACAGGGCTGGCATTGAGCCTAGTGAGAAAAAATATCATAATATCTTCGACAACCTGAAAAAGCCTGTTGAGGTGATCTAATACAGATCAATACTTCAATACAGAGTAGTACTAAGTGAGCTGTTTACCATTTGTTTTACAACATCATCAGAAGAGATAAACTTTTAAATCTGCTAACAGGTAGTTGGAGAATGACATGAGTGTTGTCATCTGTGAACCCTACGGCCTTCAGATTACAATTACGCACTCAAAAAGTCTTTTCATTCAAAACAAATCTTTTTGCTAAAGAAGTAGTTTTTGTGTCAATGTAGATTGCAAAACCTTTTTAGCACCTTAGGCAACTTTTGCAAACTTTCTCTCAAAGGATACCTGGCTATTGAAATTTGGTAAAAAAAATATTTTCCCAGATTATTTGCTTGAAGACACCATTCACAGAAGTTACATATGTCTCTGAGGTGGGGACAGTCTATAACCCAGCCTCAGTTGCCATAAAATATTATTAGAAAAGGCTAATCTCTGAATAATAGTACAGAAGTCAAACTAACCAGCATATTCTCTGCCATATCAGACATGACCAAAGTTCCAACTTGTTCCTGAAAATGAGAACAAATAAGACAAAAAGAAAAGAGTTGGTCAATCATTTTCTTTACCCTCTATATGCTGGACATCACACCCACAACGCATAAAATGGTCCAGACTATTTCGATCTTTGAATGCAATAAGGGTAGTTTCTACTGATATATGTACATACATGTACCAACCTTTGTTAGGAATTTTGAGATGTGTCCTCGCCCACAACCAAGATCCAATGCCAGCGGGAAGAATCTGAAATAACAAGGAGAAACGTAAAGATAGTATAGATCTAATCAAAAAATGTTTTTCATGAAAATTTCCATATTATCTGCTTGGAAGGTTTTTTTTGTTTTGAAACCCCACCCAGGCAATTTTGCAGTCCTTTCCGCACTTTGTTATGTCAAGGTTTCACTGTACCCGAAAACTCTTCTGGAAATGATAACCCTTTAGTGTGCTTATAAATAAGATTTCTGTGCCTATCAACTCTTTTAGAAAATAAAATCATTTAATAAACTGATTATTTCACCTAGCAATATCTCCTACTCTGTCAACCATTCTCTCTGCAACCTACAACAACAAAAAAGCAACAAATTATTAACATCACTTTCTTAATAGGCCTTATTACATGTATGTACACTGTAAAGGTCATAGTAATGTAGTGGTTATCACATTGAGCTTCAAATCCGTAGGTTTGGTTGCAGACTACTGTTGGCATTGTTTCCTTAAACAAGAAACGTAGCCCCACTTTCTCTCCACACACGTATAAAAATGGGCACCAGCAACATACTGCTGATTAAACTGCGATCAGGCATTCTTCTTTTATTTTGGGGGGAAACCACAACCTTTTCTTCTTGTCTCACAAAGAAAAAATGAAGAGGGACTTCCTGATTGCCAATTAACATCTAATGGACTAGCATAATTCCATTATCCTGAGGGATTGCAAGACTCCTAGGTGCTTCATGCGACTGAAACCATCATAAGCTTCTGTCCCATGCATGTCATCAGTCCCAAACAATACTTCACCTTGTTAGCTATCACCCAAAAAATTAATTTAATGCACTCCGTGCTACAGGCCATTTCTGAGTTCCAAAAACTCTCTCTTTCAAAACAAGGCCAAGTGCAAAACCTTTCTTGTGAAAATTAGTTTTACATGCATGAGATTGAAATATCATTTTCATATCAATGGCTTTGCTCAAACGGAGGCTTAGCCTGGGTTATCAGTGCTGTCAACTCTCCTGGATAATCCGGTAGACTCCAGATTTTGGACCGTATCTCCCGGTCTCCAGATTAGAGTATGAAATCTCCCGGATAATCGCCCAAGTTTGCCATTTCCTGCAGACTCGACTTTTGCGTTGTTTGAGCTATTTTACTGTTGACAGTGCATCGAACATTTCCTCATTCAACTCCGTTGTGCCATTGTAATATAAGCTTAAGCAATAATGTGATTGGTGGGAAGTAAACCAATCAGGTCAAATGTTACAATGTTATCAACATCTTTTTCGCGCATTTTGTGTTATCGCAAATTCGTGACAATGGAGTCAACAAGTATTCTTTACACAAATGACGCCAGGTGTTGTGCGTTATGACGTCATCTATCATCCCTTCCCTATCACTTCTCAAAATTTGAAGACGTCGGGGGTTGACAGCCCTGGGTAATAGTCTATTGAGCTTAGTCTTCCTGTGCATTAGCATTGTTCATTCGCAACTCCTTCTGTGTGCACAATACAACTGTTATTCTTACCTCATCTTTGAGATAGTCGTATACACCGACATTTCCAGCAAGTGCGGCCCTGTTTTTTTGCCTTCTCTTGGCTTTCCTATCAAACACATTCATTACTTCTTCATCTGTTCTCCTCGTACTATAGCATCTCCAAACACTTGGCTGCCTTAACAACGGAACAACCCTGCGATAAGACATTGTAAAGAGGACTTAAACATGAGTAAAATCTTTAACAGCCCTCTGATAGAGTGCAAAATATGAACAATGCACCATTTTAAATAAAACTGCATTACTGTAACCATTTTCAAAGATACAACTTAACTTTGAAATCTGACATAAAAAATGGAACAATACTCATTGTATGGTGTTCTAAGAGCTAAAGGTCTTATTAAAAACACTAAGCTTAAAAGCAGACTTCCAGTAATTCTGCACATAATTAACATGATTATTCTGTCTCAGAAAAGTATTACAAAAATCCCTAGATACATATTGAGTTGGGGAGTCACCCAACAGGGATATAGTAAGGATTTTGCTGCCACTAAGAATGCTTCTCTTTAAAAGCACTTTTATTATAAGGAAAAAAAGTCAGTATTATCAGAAAAAAGTCATATTGGAAGCAACTTTATTCAACTTCTGACGAGCCGAACTCATCAAGGAGTTTTCTATTTGTTTCGAGTAAAAATTATTGTCCCTTTCCGAAAAACAAGTTGCACAAAGAGCACTTTAATGTTACTCAAATGTAAGTACACCATTATAGTTGTGGGCTTAGTGCTTACCCTTGCCTTCAAATGAATGTGAGGCTGAAATTGACTATGTTTTGATAAAAACCTCCTTTGTTTTCTAATGGAAATTATGCTTGAAAATACTAGTTAACATAACAACAACATGATAAACATGAGAAAGCAGGAAGCAAAGGTTGTATCAAAACATAGTCAAATCCAGCCTCGTTTAAATTCATCTATAGCTGTAAAGTGACCTATTTCACTTCCGAGAACACACCTTAAACTGCTGACAACAAGATCAAATGAATTTTGAGCAAATGGTAAAAATTCTTCATCTACCATAAGTCTAAGCGTCTGAACCTCACAGGGCTGGCACTGAGCCTAGCGAGAAAAAATATCATAATATTGTTTAAATCTTCAACAGCCTGAAAAAGCCTGTTGAGGTGATCTAATACAGAGCAATGCTGCAATACAGAGTAGTAACCAGTGAGCTGTTTACCATTTGTTTTACAACATAATCAGAATAGATAAACTTTTAAATCTGCTAACAGAAAGTAGGAGAATGACATGAGTGCTGTCATCTGTGAACCCTACGGCCTGCAGATTGCAAATAAGCACTAAAAAAGTCTTTTCGTTCAAAACAAATCTCTTTGCTAAAGAAGTAGTTTTTGTGTCAATGTAGATTGTAAAACCTTTTTAGTACTTAATGCAACTTTTGCAAACTTTCTCTCAGAGGATACCTGGCTATTGAAATTTTGTAAAAAAATATTTTCCCAGATTATTTGCTTGAAGACACCATTTACAGAAGTTACATATGTCTCTGAGGTGGGGACAGTCTATAACCCAGCCTCAGTTGCCATAAAATTAGGAAAGCCTAATCTCTGGATAATAGTAAAGAACTCAAACTAACCAGCATATTCTCTGCCATATCAGACATGACCAAAGTTCCAACTTGTTCCTGAAAACAAATAAGATAAAAAGAAAAGAGTTGGTCATCACAATTTTTCAATCATTTTCTTTACCCTCTATATGCTGGACATCACACCCTCAATGCATAAAATGGTACCACTTATTTCCATCTTAGTATGCAATCAGAGTAGTTTGTACTGGTATGTGTACATACATGTACCAACCTTTGTTAGGAATTTTGAGATGTGTCCTCGCCCACAACCAAGATCCAATGCCAGAGGGAAGAATCTGAAATAAGGAGGAGAAACGTAAAGATAGTATAGATCTAATCAAAAAATGTTCTTCATGGAAATTTCCATATTTTCTCCTTGGAAGGTTCTTTGTTTTGAAACCACACCCAGCCAATTTTGCAGTCCTTTCAGCACTTTGTTATGTCAGAGTTTCACTGTGCCCGAAAACTCTTTGATTTTTGTGCCTATCAACTCTTTTAGAAAATAAAATCATTTAATAAACTGATTATTTCACCTAGCAATGTCTCCTATTCTGTCAACCATTCTCTCCGCAACCTACAACAGGAAAAAAACAACAAATTATTAACATCACTTTCTTAACAGCCCTTATTACATAGTAATCTAGTGGTTATCACATTGAGTTTCAAATCCGTAGGTCTGGGTTTCAGACTGCTGTTGGTATTGTTTCCTTAAACAAGAAACGTAGCCCCACTTTCTCTCAACATAGGTATAAAAATGGGCACCAGCAACATACTGCTGATTAAACTGCAATCAGGCATTCTTCTTTTATTTTTGGGGGAAAGCACAACCTTTTCTTCTTGTCTCACCAAGAAAAAACGAAGAGGGACTGCCTGATCGCCAATTAACATCTAATGGACCAGCATAATTCCATTATGACGAGGAACTGCAAGACTCATTGGTGCTTCATGCTACTGAAACCATCATAAGCTTATGTCCCATGCATGTCATTAGCCCCAAACACTGCTTCACCTTGTTAGCTATTACCTGGAAAATTAATTCTAGGTCCTCCATGCAACAGGCCATTTCTGAGTTCCAAAAACTCTCTCTTTCAAAATGAGGCTAAGTGCAAAAACTTTCTTGTGAAAATTAGTTTTACAAGCATGAGATTAAAATATCAGTTTTATATCAATGGCTTTGCTCAAACGGGGGCTTAGCCTGGGTAATCAGTGCTATCAACTCTCCCGAATAATCCGGGAGACTCCAGATTTTGGACCGTATCTCCCAGTCTCCAGATTAGAGTATGAAATCTCGCGGATAATCGCCCAAGTTTGCCATATTTTCTGATAGACTCGACTTTTGCGTTGTTTGAGCTATTTTACTCTTAACAGTGCATCCAACGTTTCCTCATACAACTCCGTTGTGCCATTGTTATGTAAGCTTAAGCAACAGTGTGATTGGTGGGAAGTAAACCAATCAGGTCAAATGTTACAATGTTATTAACATCTTTTTCGTGCATTTTGTGTTATCGCAAACTCGTGATGATGGAGTCAACAAGTATTCTTTGCACAAATGACGCTATGTGTGCTGTGCGTTATGATGTCATCTATCATCCCTTCCCTATCACTTCTCAATATTTGAAAACGTCGGGGGTTGACAGCCCTGGGTAATGGCCTATTGAGCTTGGTCTTCCTGTGCATTAGCATTGTTCAGTCTTGCATGCATGATGGAAACTCCTTCTGTGTGCACAACTGTTATTCTTACCTCATCTTTGAGATAGTCGTATACGCCGACATTTTCAGCAAGTGCGGCCCTGTTTTTTTGCCTTCTCTTGGCGTTTCTATCAAACACATTCATTACTTCTTCATCTGTTCTCCTCGTACTATAGCATCTCCAAACACTTGGCTGCCTTAACAACGGAACAACCCTGCGATAAGACATTGTAAAGAGGACTTAAACATGAGTAAAATCAAGAGAAATAAAGGCCATTTCGTTTATGAGAAGGCCCATTTTTTTTAAAAGTTCACTGTGCCGCCATGATGGACGGGATCAATTGAAAAGACTAAGACGAGTAGCTTTGTAACCATTCCAGGATACAAGTGGCTACTAAGCTTTGGCGGGAACGCGGGAAAATGGGAAAATTGTTATGAAGAAGGATAACATTGTTTGCAACAAGATTCCAGTTCTTTAGTCATGTTTGAGCAATGCGTTACTTCGCTTAGGAACTACATACGGGATCGCACAAATGGAAAATGTTTTCCTCCATGGACCTGGCTCTTCGTTAAGCTTGCGTCGCTTCTTTCACGCTATCCTTCTGGTATTACAAAAGCCATCATTTTAGCAGAGATTCAACAATCTTGGAATCAATTTAGTCAGTTTCAAGGACGTTTAGAAGGACAGAAAGCTCGTAAGGTCTCCGTCGATTCAGTGTTTGAAAGCCGACACATCGGATACGAGTCAATTCTGGAAGCCAAAGTTGAAAGTATTAATACAGTCCCGGGAACACACACAAATATTGCTATCTTACGTGACCCCAAAGGAAAGAATTCGCTTGGGATGTATATGCATCAAAAGCTCTACCAGTTACCAGCAACATTGATCAAAAAACACACTCTCCGATTCACTAGCTGTCGATTAATTCAAGGGAAAGGTCTGTCGTTTGCTGGTCATAAAGTTCACCTCCTACCATCGGAAAACGTGCTGATTCTTTGTGGGGAAGACGTCGACGACCTTGCACGCTTTGAAAAGTTTGGCAATTTCCAAAGCTTTGATAGAAGCCCTTATCCCCGTTATGGCTGTGATATAAAGGCTGAAGTTGCAGATTTGGGATTTGAAGAAACAATTCATTTTCCAAATGGAAAAACAAGCATCAAAAGATGTATTAAAGTAGTGGACTCAGAGGGAATTCATGTCAATTTCTGTTTGTGGGATGAGCAGCTTCCAATGGCTAACTTATTTCAAGAAGGTGATACTCTTGCAATTCAACAACCCTTTGTGGTCCCAAATCAAGATGAAATGTTTGTGTTGGAATATGGTCCTGCAACAGTTATTTTTTGTACATCACGTGACCCAGTCAGGGAACTTGTCCCAAGTCAGACAGCTAGTACTCAAGGGACCCCTGTGAGTGTAATTAAAGACAGTCAAGGGATGCTGGACTATTCCACATTTCCTGAACAAATTTTTTTTAATGATATAAGGTATGTGTCAACTGCTGGCCAACCAACATGAGAAAACAGCCAAAATTTGGTGATCCCGCCACTACTAGTTTCCCGTGAAATGACATCTAAGAAACAAGTGCAGAAATTCCATTCTAATGACATGTCACTACCCAGTGCCAGATCCAGACCTCGAGATAAGGGGGCGCCAGTCTTCCAGTCCCTGAGGTTACTGGCCAACTAGTATTTAGTTATCTTTTAGACAGCTATAGGTGGAGGATGAGGGCTAGCTATGTTGATGTTGATCATTAAAAGCTGACAGACAAATAATCTCTCAATTTGTTATGTTGTGGGCTCTGCAGCTATGTACATGTACGGTACTTCTGCAACCAGTAAACCCCTCTTATTGTTTTACTGGTCCTGGTTTAAAAGTTATCAAGACCTTTCAGAAACTGTATCAGGGCTGTGCTCTAGCAGGGTCTGGTGGCCCCTTGCGCCTAACTTTTGCCCTAGGGCGACTAGAAAATCTCAGATTTTTCATACAAATCATATGCCGGGCACCCTAGATTTTACAGTTTCAGAGCACTGGGCTCCCTTCAATTTTCCTTAGAGCACAGCCTTGCTGTATAATTTACAAATTGAATTATGTGAGTTTTAAAATAATTTCCTGATCTTTTTGTAGGTCAAACATGACCCGGATTACAATTTTCTGCACCATAACTAATGTTGGTATAGTGGAAGCCTTCACTCAGTACAAAGTCTCTGGACACAAGTTTGTTCTCACTGCAAAAGATGATACAGGAAGCGAAACTATTACCATCTTTGATCACACCAGAGATTATTTTTATATACTATATGCAGGCCAAAGCATTGTGCTGGAGAATGTTCACACTTCTGGTATGCCTAAGGTTTTGTCATAATCGTATCAATGATAAGTCCAACATTTGGGGCAAGTAGGCAGGCCTGATATAAATTCGACATCTTTTACTGCTTTACCATGCTTGGGAGGAGACATTAAATTGTAAAGTGAGGAGGACATTCATTGAAGTAACTCACGCAAAATGTAGAAGATAATCTAGCCTGACTTGGCTAGATTATGATCAAATGGCACTTTGATCACTTATGTATTTTGTACAGGTACGGTAAACTCACACCAAAACTGGAATCAAAGTCAAACATACTCTTCTTCTCCCTGTGACAGTGTTACAGACTGCTTTTATAAAATATACTTTGCTTAAGGTGCTATGAATATCAAGGCAAAATTTCTTCCTTTTAGTGCCTTTCATCTAATTTCTAATTATCATTGTTTTAGGGTCTAGTTCACTGAGCTCAGCTCTTGTCCTGGAAACAAGTTCTGGTGGAAGAATTTGGAATCTCAGCACAATGACAGGTTGGCTTTCTACTAAGTGTCTGTTATCTGCAGTCTCCATAAAAGATGCAATCAGCAGTGATAAGAGCATCTGTCAAGCTGTCATCACACAAGTCAACAGCACTAACAACAGTTATGTTGTTAGGGTTCACATGTCATGCCGCGGCAAAGTGGATTGTAACGGCTACGCTGGTTATTTTTGTTGTCAGAGATGCAGCATTGATCATTTAAATGAGATGCTTAACAAACCTGGCCAGCTGGTAAGATTCTCATGATAATTATTATTTACCAAGGTGTCAATCATTATTTTTACCAAAACTGAGTGATTTTTCACACACTGATTGGTTGAGAGCTATGTTCGATAAGAGTACAGACCATGGCAAAGACGTGATGGCATTGTTTTTTATCTTTCTTGTGAGTGCATGATTTTCCAAGAAACTTCAACACAAAATGGACGTCAAAACTGCTCATTTTGACATTATTTCTATGGCCGATAAGAGTACAGACAGTGGAAAATTGATGTCAATTTACTAATTTTAACGTTATTATATTTTACTGCTACAGAAATCCCCCTCAGTGTACTGGAAGTGGCAGTATAACATGAGCCTTGAATTGCACGACTCAGACAGCAGCATGACAGCACATTTGACAGATCAAACAGCAGAACAGTTGCTACAGATGACAGCATCACAGTTTGCAGAACATGTCNTGAGATGCTTAACAAACCTGGCCAGCTGGTAAGATTCTCATGATAATTATTATTTACCAAGGTGTCAATCATTATTTTTACCAAAACTGAGTGATTTTTCACACACTGATTGGTTGAGAGCTATGTTCGATAAGAGTACAGACCATGGCAAAGACGTGATGGCATTGTTTTTTATCTTTCTTGTGAGTGCATGATTTTCCAAGAAACTTCAACACAAAATGGACGTCAAAACTGCTCATTTTGACATTATTTCTATGGCCGATAAGAGTACAGACCATGGAAAATTGATGTCAATTTACTAATTTTAACGTTATTATATTTTACTGCTACAGAAATCCCCCTCAGTGTACTGGAAGTGGCAGTATAACATGAGCCTTGAATTGCACGACTCAGACAGCAGCATGACAGCACATTTGACAGATCAAACAGCAGAACAGTTGCTACAGATGACAGCATCACAGTTTGCAGAACATGTCAAGGCCATGCAAGAACAAGTTGTCGAGTCTGTTTTAGCACAAGAATGCCTGTTTGGTCTTTCATTATTTAGAGGAAGACATCAGATTGATGCTGTTTGTGTCACAAATTAAACTGTCTAATACCTTACCTGAAGACACTTTTAATTTAATTCCATTTATGATGCAAATGAAAGTGTACATTTATTTTTATAAGGCAAAATCTGTTCTTAGGTTTAACCCTTATTCAACCTAGTTTTATTTAGAATTTCCTAGGAGACAAAAGAAAATCTGTTGAACCCTGAGAATAGACTTTACACACAACATAAATAGAGCTCAATACTTACTGGACAAACTTATACGTAAATTAATACAATACTACAAAAGCATATTCAAAGTAATATTATTATGTAATTAAATGTCACAGAAATGCTGTGAACCCACTTTTAACTAATTCAAATCATGGGAAGAAACAAACTTGATTGAAAGTTCATGCACAGCGCAGTTTTCTCGGTCTTGGTTTAGTATTATACCAGCCAACTTGATCAGTCTGTAAGAAGAGTGTCAGCCAAAAGCTGGTTGCAGGTCACATTGACTGAAATGCAGTTCTCAGCATCCAAGCAGTAGTTTTATTAGAGGTTATTTATACTGAAAGATTTCATCGCATATAAAGCCATTTCTCCCAAACTTTCTCCTAGTTTTAGGGAAGCTTGCAGAAGAGCTACTTTGTTTCCATTTACCAGTCTTTTGACTCTATATATCACTGGAAAATGTATTTTAAAAGCCCCAAGAATATGTTGATTGTCATTCACCACACTATTGCTTTAGCTTGCCTATTAATATATTCATCAGGTCAGAAAATGCGAAAGATTGAAAGTGTCCTTTGTCAGAAAACTTGTGGAACTCTGAAGCTGTTCCTTTAGCAACTTGTTCCTGTTCACTGAAGGGAATAAATGGATCATCTGTTGATCCAAACTGGACAATCCATTGAGCGTTTTGTTTTATTTGTTCCCATTCCCACGGACGATTATAATACCCTGTAAATTTGGGACAAAAAAGACAAAAGGCATTAAAAATTTTTGACTAGTCAACATTGTAATGTCTTCAGGATATACACTTTGACTCATTACAGGAATTCGTTGAAGGGGGGTTTTCATGTCAAACTTCCTTAATTGACGTGATAAGGAGGATGACATGTTGAAGCATGCAAAAAAGTAGTGCCCAGTGGCTTATAGTACATGCTAGCTACAGCTTGTGCAAATAGCAAGCTGTAAAACTCCCTTTCTTTGCACCCTGCTTTCCTGTAGGTATTTCAATATTGTTTTTGTCTCTATCATTCCACTGACACAGTTTCAACCTGGCTTCATGACATTTGCCACAATTTTACATTCTTCCCTGTGGCTGCTTCAAAGCCATGTTCCTTGAATTCACTCCAACAGCCTGAAGAGTATCATTATACCCCAGGACAAGATCTACAGCTTAATCCGTTAAGCCCCAGTATCCACATACAAATTCTCCAAACTGATCTCCATACATTTCCTTTAAGAATGAGTTGAGAGAATTTGGTAAAAGATCAAGGCATTTTTACTTGGATGATCATTTTAATAATTCTCAAAACTTATCTGTTGACAATGTATGGATATTGTTAGGAGAAAATTGATCTTGGTCACTATTGGGATTTAAACGGTTAATGAAGACAATAGAGTTTGTATGATATTTTCTCACCACTTGCTTTCTCATTAGGATCATCCAAATCAGTGACACAAGGAGACACCAGGATCAATCCAAGGACAGAATGCTTCTCTGCATACCTGTAAAATTTACAATGACTAACTTTTAACCATACACAGCCCATCTGTAGCTTCCTAATGATCAGAACAATAACCATCACTGTGTCAAGGAATATTTTTGAGGGACTTGCATTTGCTCCCTACACAACTTATGTTTTACCTCAGTGCAGCTTGAGCTCCAGAGCTATGCCCAACAATCACTGTGTGCTCATCACAATTAAGCTGTTTTTCCATGAATGGAATCCATATTTCTTCACGAGCCAACACTGTTTTCAGATAATGGTTCTGTCAATTCTAAGCATGCACAAACCCCCAGCAGGGGGGGGGGGGGG